GCGAGTATAGGAAATACATGTTAAAGGCTTAAAGAGTTCCAATAGCGTTGAACGTTACAATTTTTCACCAAAAAAACGTACTTTATAATATTTAAACAATGGATATTAATACATAAAGATACGAACAACATTCTAAACGCATCCAATTAAAATAAACACGGTTAATCAATGCATTAATTAATGTTTACTATACAGTACCTACAACAGCCCGTCGTTAACAGGAGAATGGTCGGTAAGCGAACACATTGGGCTCTATGGAGGCACTACACTATATGTACACTACACCACTATACACTACACTATACACTACACTACTGTACACTACCCTACTATACATTACACTAATATACACTACACTGTACACTACTCTACACTACACTATACACTACCCTACGATACACTACACCACTATACACTACACATTGGGCTCTATGGAGGCACATCGTTAAGCGATTAGTCGTTAACAGGGGTGGTCGTTAAGAGGGGTTCGACTCTACATACGTAGTCGGAAATGGGATCGTTGCAAAATATGATTTAAGTGCCAGGCACCCATTGCTGTACACACAACAAATAAGTATCCCCCGTATTGCCTCTAGCAGACTGTTGGGGCAAGTGCTGTTAGCGAACACTTGTGAAGGCCGGCACAGCACGCGAGGGGGTGGTGTGGACAGCACCACGCTGGGCAGCCTTATCTCCCCAATGGTGACTGTTTACAGGCCAACACGAGGCCCTCGTTTAAGGCTGAGTCGACCAAGGGGAGGCCCATAATTTGATCAGATGTTCGCTACTGATGTTGGCCATGGCAGAAAATCACACTCGGGTAACTGGGGTTCATCACGTCCTGCACTAACCACTGCGATACCACGCCGCCAAGGGGGCGTCCATAAATGACGTCACGCACCTGGGGGGGGGGGGTCAGATATTTGTGACGATCAAAATGCTCAACTTTAAATAAATATAGACAACACGTTCTACTTAATTAAATAGACTTTTTAATAAATGTTTTCTCCTACAACATCAGAGTGCAGCGCCGCATTAAATACGCGCTACAATGACAATAGTTTAGGGGGCAGAGCTTTTCGACATCATATTTAAGGGGGGGGGGGGTCTGACTTTTTGTGACGCCGTGTGACAAGTCGGGGGGGGGGTGGGGGTCAAAAAATCGTCCAAAATCGCGTGACGTCATTTATGGACGGCCCCCAAGCACAACGTACACTTGCTCCGGCAGGACGTGCACGATCATACAAGCACACAGTGACGCGCGCACACAAGCTGCACGCACGCACGTCCTACTTGTTGTGGGAACAGCCAGAGCAAGGCACGGTGAGATTCGGCGGAGTTTGCAGCGCAGCCACTGCGCATTATCCAGGGGGGCTCGGCAGTGGCTTAACTCAAGAGGAAACTGTCTGACCGCAGTGACAGGAGGATTAAGACTCGCAATGAATGACAGGACGATGTGGCACCGCCACCACCACCACCACCCTGCATATGTGCGTGCGTGCCCGTGCGCGTGCCAGGCATGTCTTGCCGTGGCACCAGGCGGAGAGAACTTTGAAGAATTACGCCAATGTGGCAGCGTCGCGTGCCTGCGTTTGTGAGACCGTGCGAGGTTGAACGCGCGTGTCCAGAGCTCGTCAAGGATTTTTTTTTTGGGTTTAATCGTAACTCGACCCCGAGGCTGGACGTGCCCAGCATTTGTGCCACTTCGCCACCAGTGGGGATAAGCAGGTGGCAGGCGACCCTTGCCTGGATCAGGGGACAGCTTTTCTAATGACTCCTCCGTGTGGCAATGTCTTGTCCAAAATGAGCACGTGACCTGCGTTATGTTTCTGCCCCCCCCCCCCTGCACCTCATCCTCCTACCCCACCCCCCAACTAATATGGATGATGCGCTATGAAGAATGGCCATTGCACAAAATTTCACCGATTATATTTTTAGTTTTTAAGACCACAGTGTTCAAGACGAATGCATTGAGGTGTTTTTTCAAATATAATTGTTTGTGCTTATGCACCACTGCCAACGCAACAACATCACCAGATAATCTGCTTAATGTGGATAATGGGTTTTTTTAAATTATTACCAGGTAAGGCCCACTAAGCTGGATAGCTCTTTTTTCAGAAACGACCTGGCCACTAATGACAGCTCAACGAAGTGGATTATCACGTGGCAATGATATAGCAGCCAAATACTCGAAACGCCCGCTTCTAAATGTGGAGGGGAAATCCGGAGGACCCGGAGAAAAATCCACACAGTCACGCGAAGAAAGAGACACGCAAACTCCAAATACACAGCAGGCTTCAGGGTTCAGGATCGTACCCACGGCCTGCTTTGACAGGTCTTACGTGGGAACTTTAAAACGATACGCTTGTGTAACGTTCTTCTCTGAAGCAAAATGTGTGTGCTCTATGATAAGGAGGGAGAGGCCTTCACCCAGCAGTGGATTTACAAAGGGGCAATAAATTATTGCGTGTACATAATTACACACCCTTACATGTAACACTGTATATAGGAAGAATAAAGCACTTGGACCCGCCGGCGTTGTAGCTATATATAGAATTAAAACCCTATTAAATCTGAGAACATTCCACGTCCCATTTACACAGCAGATACACATTAAGGGTCAGGGGGAAAAAAAAGTCACCCAGACAATTGTACACAGCCTTATATAGTAAGCCTCAGTTCTCACAACAAATACCTCACCCCTAACAAAGCATCGCATGCCACATGATCTCATTCCAACGTCGTTCCGAATCATTCTCAACGGTACGCGCCGTACGGAATGGCAGACACACGTCAGCATAGAGGTTTTTTTCTCTTCCGTTTATGCCATTGCATCGACTTTTTTGGGTCGCGCTGTTAGCTCGCCGATGTGTTTTCGGCTTCGGGGATTCCCGAAGAAGCTCCCAGCACGCGGGCCGAAACGTCGGGCATCATGCGGGCGAAATCCGTGAAACATCAGCCTATTAAAGAGGCTTCATGTCTGCGCAGTAAGATTTTGGGCGTTGTTCGCAAAGGTTGCCGTGGAAAGCAGCCGTGCTCTGAAAGTGTCCCTGGTAAAAGCACCGTGGGTTCATACCTTGCTGTGCCCTCCCGTGAGCCCATAAGGGGAGTGGGGGGGTGTCCTTTTGTTGCCTCTGCTGTGTGCACAGAGTGAGCCTTGTTTGCTCGTGCGCACCATTCAAGTGGCTTTCTAACGAGTGATATTAGCCCCTTAGTATGAGACTTGTTGTGTCATGCTTATATTTAACTAAGTCATGAATGGGGAGTTGGAGCAGTGGTGCAGTGGCGCAGTGGTTATCCTAAGTTCCATTCCCGGTCAGGTAGGATGGGAATGGTTTAGTTTTATCTGTATGTGTTTGGGTGAATTTTTGTTACTTTTCTTGTACTTTGTATGACTATCATGTTTTTGTAATGTTTGTCGCTGTAACGTTCTTACACGCCCCTACTGGACATTTGTGAAATATATCTTTATAGCTCATTGGATTCCTCCAGTTTTAATACATATTCAGATTCTGAATCATTATGAAATTAGCTTGCTATAAGTGTGTAAAAGAAATACTTAAGGGCTTCTGTCATTGGCCGAAGCAGCCCATACCATGGCTGGTGCTGAGCTTATTTGGCCTTCGAGGAGCCGCATTGCAAGACACAACACCTTCTCAAAGCAGTCGGCCAGAGGAAACACAGACTCCACGTTATCACTCCTGCAGGGAATTAAAACATGAATTAATGATGCCACGTGTGCAGTCAGGTTTATCTTTAATGTCGCCCGGCGGAGGGTCGCGCGATCAGAACAGCGGACGATGAGAACAAACAGCAGACGATGAGAACAAACAGCAGACGGTCTAGCTTTGCACAGGATCAGCGTCACGGTAATTTGCAGACCTGTAATGTGACACATTGAGAGACTCTGATTGATTTTCTCTCCCCCCCTCCCCCATCTCATTTTGTACCATTGTCTGGCACTAAGGGGCACAGTAGGTGCAGATTGTACAATGTTGTTCGCAAGAATAGAAAATAAAATCCACTTCATCTCTCGCAAATTGAAAGAGCTTGATGAGTGTAATTTTGTTCGAGTCCTTCTTCAAAATTATGACTTTGTGCGTTTGTTATTCTGCATTCATTTGCGTGGCTGTGCGGAGCAGTAGGTTAGCGGTTAGCGCCCTACGCTACGAACCCAGCCACCCCAGTTCGATTCCCGCTCACGGCTAACACCGGTGATGGTCATCTGAACTGGGTATGGGCCTCCCCTAGCTTGCCTCAAAATGAGTACCTGGTGTGGTGTGTAAACATCGCCACTGGGGAGACAAAGGCGGTCGGGCGTGGTGTTGGCCACCAACCCCCCTCATGTGCCATGCCGGCCTTCATATGTGCTACTCGCGAACAGCACTTGCCCCAAAAGTTCTGTTCAGGCTGTACGGGGGAATCGTTGTATTTTGTCATTTGCGTATCAAGTTCAAATGTTGGTGGCAGTGCTCATCTCAAATGGCGATTCTGGGCCAGCTGTGGACATTCCACATTCCTATAGTGGGTGCCATCCTCTGAGCCCTGTTGACCTTGCACGCCACGGGTTTGTCCATCGCAGAGGAATGTCGGGCAAGGTTAAATCGGGGGATTTTTAATTCACAGAATGGCAACTGTGAATCAAACGCTGCCAACAGCACCACTCGGTAGGACACATACAGTATGCATGCTTGTAATCCAGCTTGCTTTCGATGTGATGCTTGGTTGCTCATGCATAGACGAATGCATGGATGAAGCCTGTACGACGAACGTGGTCCGACAGCTTATTCGACTTGAGCATCGTCGTGAAGAATAACTTGCGCGGCCCGTGGGCGTTCAAACCTCCCCTCGGCGAAAGTGGCAGCAGAAGAATCGTAATGGCAGCAGAAGCTGCTGCCGCCGCCGTGACTCGGTGCCGGACGTTCGTCTGAATCCGCGTGCCGTGACGCGTGCCGTGACGCGCCGTGCCGTGCCGTGCCGTGGGCGTTGCGTGCGTGCAGGTGAACGGCGAGAACGTGGTGAAATGTGGACACCGGCAGGTTGTCGGGCTCATCCGGCACGGGGGCAACCAGCTGGGCATGAAGGTGGTGTCCGTGAGCCGCCGGCTGGAGCCCGAAGATGGCGTTCGCAAGAAAGGTACGACCCCTCCCCGCCCTCCCCACTCCCCTCCCCCCCGTTGTTCCACACGGATATCTTCCTCCTCCTGCTGCTGCTGCTGCCAATCGCCGCCTCCCACAGCTACTAATCATTCTCGGTTTGATTATCGTCGGACGATCACAGCCGTATGTGTTAATGCATGGCACGCATGCGTAGCGAATGGGTGAATGAAGAAGCAGGTAGGTTGAAAGCTGATTGATCACTCGACCGATCTGGCTGGGTGGCACTGTTGTTAGAGCAGTCAGCTCACCGTCAGAAGGGCATGAGTTACAATCCCAGTGTGGGGTTGAACTCAGCCCATCATACTGCCAGAGTAACTAAAATGAGCACCACATGTTAAGCATTCGACATTGGCCATTATGTGGGAAAACTGGCCTCTGCCTCACGAATGTGGAAAATCCACCCATGATTCCTGGCTACGAATGGACAATAGCACTGCCGCGAGCTGGTTTTGATTTTGGAAACACTTTGGTTTGACTTTAACAGCTTAACGTTGTGCCTTCCACGTCAATTTATCTTGGCAGTAATGTTTTAAGCAAGGCTCTGGTTTCTGGACGAGTTTCCCCTGTACTGAATCTCATCAGCAGGGAACGGCACGTAAACAACAACAAACATCGCCGGATTACCCCTTCGCATATATGTAATTGTGAGCCGTATCTTTAACGAAGCAGCACTTGCTTATTTGGAGTAGCTGTGCTCTCATCGCACTGCAAGTCAACGTTGTGCTCTCTACGCCGCTCTCAACGGCTCCCGCCCAGAACATACGGACCGCCTAGCGGCACGGTCCTCCGAGGCGTCGTGTGATTACAATTACGCATTTGATAAGCGTTTATCTGAGAAGGTCGACGTACCCACGGACGTTATTCCCCACAAAATGCATGGCCATCGCCAGTGTGAACGTCCAAGCACAGCTGCGGCATAGTTCACCATACAAACGGCCCTCACTCTCAGATTAACGGTTGGTCCACACTTACCTCGTTTTGGCTGCCAGATCTTCGGCAGGGTAATTATGACGGCAATGTCACTTTGACTGAGGACCTTAGTGTGAGCGGCCAGAGATGGGCAGTATCTAACTGATAAGTAATGTAAGTACGTGATTGCATTACCTTTGTGATTCATAATCAATGTCTAAATTGCACGCTAATTCGTGTCTTAAGCCACGCGAGATGTGATGAATCGGTCATTCGTGTCTGCATCGCGCGACTCCAATAATTTGTAATTTCAAAGTACGTTGGCCATCTCTGTCAGACAGAGCAACTGTAGAGCGCATCACGAACCACTATCCCCGTTGGAAAGATAAACCTGGGAGAAGTTTTAGTTTTTCATTCAATTCGGGGCAAATTTTTATCTACGGTTCGTTGGCTGAGCCTGGCACACGATGATCTCCTCGTGAAAATGAGATACATATGAGCTGTGATCAGAAGACGCATCGCCTACGCTAATGCATGCCGCACACTGATCGCTTTTACTCGACGCGTGAAAACCAGCGGTCGTGGCAAAGCCGTGGAAGAGCAGTGCACGGGCACCTTTGCCCTCCATTGTGTGATTAACCCTTAACCCTCACCAGCTCGAGCCCGCCCCCCGTGGGCCCACGGCGCGTTGTTTGCTTTGCCTGCGTGCACGCATTCGTCGTCAGAGCTGCTTGCATGCGTTTCAAGCCCACATGCCTCACGACGCTGTCATGCCATTTGTCTTTTGTTGTGAGATACGTAATTAAAATAATTCCAGCATACCTGCACGAGTGTGCGTGCGCGTGCGTGTGTAGCCAGGTGGGGAGCGGTTGTGTAGTGGTTAGCACGCTGAGCGACAGACTCAGCAACCAGAGTTCGATGCCCGCTCACGGTCAACACCAGTGACGGTTATTTAAACCAGTCCTGGGCCTCCTCCTAGATCGACTCAGCCTTAAATGAGTATCTGGCGTGGTTATGTAAACATCAGCATTGGGAAGGCAAAGATGGCTGGGCGTGGTGTTAACCACCCACTCCCTCGTGGGCCATGCTGGTCATCATAGGTGCTCACAAACAGCACTTGCCCCAACAGGCTGTGTCGGCTATATGGGGCTATCTTTTTGCGTGGAGATCTGTGCTACGAGCCTGATGACCTGACCTTGATTCCCGGTCTTGGCAAACATAAGTGGTTCGGGATTTCTGAACATATCTTGGGCCCCCACTAGGCAAACCCAGCCTTAAAATAATTATAACTTGGTGTGTAAATATCAACACTGGGGAGACAGCAATGGCTGGCCGTGGTTCTGGCCACACCACTCCCTTGTGCGCCATGTTGGCCTGAAATAGGTTTTTGCTAACAGCATCTGCATACGGTGCGAAGGAAGTTCAACATACATACGTCGTATACTCTGGGTGGTCACAGCACATGCCTGTAATCTAGCGGTCTGGGGATTGGTGGATTGGCGGATCACCCATGAATGAGAGTCACATGTGCACCGGTAGGAAAATCAGTACAGCAACTAAAGTGGAATTTGACCAATTCCCCTCATGTGTGTGGGTTTTCTCTAGGCACTCTAGTGTCCTTCCCACACATAAATAAAAACACATGAAAAATATATGGCCAAATATTTTGAATATGTAATTTTAGAAAGAGTCTTAAAATCCAATGGGGCTTCCTGGTTACAGATAATTGCTGACGTATGCCGTGTGTGTCTTTGCATATGCAGACACCTGCCACAATCCCACCGTTTTTGATCAACTAGATTAAACGTATCCATCATACTATATATTTTTTAATATGCTTACATTTGCAGTGCATCGATATGCCACGTGTTTTTTACATGTTCGCTCGCCTATCTGCATGCATGCATGTGTGCGTAACATTAATTTAACGCGTTGTTTAATCAGAAGGAAGCCCATCTTGTCTACTTGTCTATCTTGGCAAATGACCTCACTTCCTGCGTCGATGCTCATTGTCTCGTTGCGTTCGTTGCTCTGCGATTCGTTTGGCACGCGGTGCTGCTCGTCGATATTGCATGCGCGCTCGACAGCTCTCTGTCCTCACCGTATACGCGACTCGAACTAATCATGAGTGTTGCTGTGTGGAATATATACGTATCAAAATATCGTCTGCTTATCCATTTCACTTTTAATCATGCAGCACACAATTCATTCCAGCTTGCTCGGCCTTATTTGTGATTTCTAAGCATCCGTGTGAATTGATTGGTTGCCGAGAATGGTTGTGGCTTACGGTGATGATGTCATTCCTGCACTCACGTATGATCAAATTCGCATTAAGGTGTTTAACGCTTTTAAACGTTGCGATTTTGTAGATCGTCACATTAAGTTATGAATCAGCGAGATGAGGCTTTGTGGAATTACAACGTATTACATGCGCACTTGCGTAGGTTGCGCAGAGATTATAAAACTGGCACTTGCAATTTCGTCGTGACAACGCTCATGAAGCCAGCCGAATGTAATTTGCGGTTTGATAATGCATCTGCTGTATGTGCCGCGTGTGCATTTTTTTTGCTATGATGTGAATGGTAGGGATTTTCTCATTTTGTTTTAAACACATCGTAACACAATACGCTTGAATCACGATTTCAACACTGTTATGAATAAGCCAGCCTGCGATGCATATATATTCACTACAAAAGAAGCCAACGATAGTCATTGGAGTCTGTCAATACTGCGATGAATTCTACAAGAAGACCTTGTGATATCCATCACCTCAACAGCGTGCCCGAGTCATTGTGCGATTGTTATTCTCCCGCAATGGAAGGTTTTCCCTGGGGCTATCATCGCTCCAGCAAATCTAAAGTTTCTCACGTCAATCTAAACAAGATCTCCTCTCCGCCAAACCAGCCGACGCCCTGAGGGCTGGAACAGTGCAACTGCAGCGGCCGCTATCTCTGGATGTTTTGCCGCTAAGTGCCCGGACCTGCGATCGGCCATGGAGCTGATCATGCAGAGCCGTGGTCTCGCGGGCACAGAAGCCGAACATGAGAGTGGGAAAAAAAAAAACATTCAACCACTTACGGCGAGAGACAGCGATGTCCTACATTAGCCCTGAAGCTTTAAAAAGGCAGTTTGGTTTCGTGGCAATATCATGGTGGGTGCATGGAGCGTCTCAACTTCAAAATAGCTCCAGTGTTCTGTACCATCGAGTGGTTGGTTGTAAGAGTTTTCAAGTGGAGTCCGATGAAAGTGATACTAATTACGGGGGAGTTGAGCAATCATTTTTTGCAATTGGGCAAGCAAAGGGTCGACCACGCAAATAGATATTAAGTACAGTTGCATGTAGCTGTGAGCCACTGATGGAACTAATGTCGCAGGCAGTGTCGTGTGCATTATGCTTGCAGTATGGTGGTGTCACGTGATATGCAAGACATTATAGTGGAGTGACTAACTTGGAGACGTAACTCTTGGAGGCAATTATTTAATGAACACTGAGCACACTTTTACACACTCTGCACTGTTACGCAAGGCTCTGTCTCTCGCTTAAACGAAACTCTGCTCTGGTTGCTAGCCTACAACACAACGCGAGCCGTCTGAAATTGACGGCGCTGAGCTAAGACAGCCAACCACTGCTAGCAGCGCAATTATCAAGTGGATGACGATAGCGACGATAGCGACGAAGGCGACAGCAGCGACGACGACGAGGGGATCCCACTCCAACGACAGCCACAATCCCCCGCCCGGGGTCCTCTTTTATCCTGTTAGCGTGGCCTCGCTCCGCCCCGGCCACGCCCCCCTTCTGGAACCTACTGAGTGGGCTCTCGACGCGTCCCCTCCGTAACCTTTACCCTAGATCCCTCTCGGGTCTGTTACGTGGCCTGCTGTCAGTCAGGGCTGCTTCACTCTGCAGATCCCCTTCCCTGCCAGCAGCCAGCGCTATGCCACGTAGTGATCAATTCTATGTCACTACAATAGGACTAACATTGTGGTCACAATCATACCTTTTTTCCGTCTTAAAATCACAATATGCGTGTATTATTACGCTTGGCCAACACTGCTGATATTTGTTCA